AGTGAGTCCGTCCAACTCAGCACACAAAACTCAGATCAAACTGTCAAACTATGTAGTGCTGATCAAATACGAAGCAAGATTCTGTTACTGCGTTGCCTATTTCACAGACATATTTTAGTGTACTGTTTAGCTGTAATACGATATTGAGTGTGAGCTGCCATTATTTCAAAATGGTACTCCACAAACCATGGGTGACGTCACTATAGGTCCACTCCCCTGGTGTCTGCAGATAAAAACGGTTCATTCTAAGGTAACAAAAACTTAATGTTCCTATATTCAGGTGATTATACGCCAATGAAATTATACTACTATATTCCATTTTTGCCAATAGAACCTCCTAAATGTTACACACTGAACCTTTAATACAAGACAGATACAACTCAATTGTTTCTCTTTGGTAATAACATTACAAGTATGGGGAGACTTCTGTATGTTGGCAACATAAAAAACAATATGAATAAAACGGTCAATACATAATGTACAATAGTATTTTATGTTTTTACATACATGTTTTAGGTTATTATACCAATCATAATGTAAAATTATGGTATTATGGAAATGATAAGGTTAATATAATAACACTGAATCATTTAAGTGATACGCATACCAATTATAGGTCAAAACATTGCTAAATTTGGCTGAAAACCACAAATGGCACTAAATGAAGAGCCAAAAGAGCCAGCTCTAATGCTCAGGCTCACTAAAAAGAGCCAGAATTCCCATCACTAATAAACGCAGACCCCTAAAATGTCAAACTATTCCTTGAACTTGTAGGTCATGTTCATTTAGCTTACAGCAAGCATAACTAAACTTTAATGTTCAGCCGAGGTTCCGAGTTCATTCATGGCCAGTTGTTAAAACATCCTCATCACCCAGGCCATTTAGTAGCTGTTCTGGAGCTTCCGATCATGTTCTTCATCAGCAGGTGGAATTTAACCAGTTGTCATTAAATTGTAGAAGTAAAAATATTTATTAAGAAAAAGACGAGAAGTCCTGAAATTGCTAAGAAAATAATGATAATTTGGCTGCAGTTTAATGACAACTGAAGATCATGTGATACAGTCAAAAGCTACAGAACAGCTTCTTAATGGTTTACCTCCATTTTAGGATAGACTGCCATTTACTGTATTTTATGGGCTACAACATTCTACATAGGCCATTTGTTTCCTGCTGTAGGATATACTGTAAATGATGCATCTATAGGAAGAATATGAATCATAAGTAGGCTATGAATTGTGTTTTTTAGTTTTTTATGCCTTACATTTTTTATTCAAATGATCAATGTTTTAGGTGCAAGAGAAAGGAACATACAAGGAGCATAAACCTAAAACACCAGCAAGGAACTTGCATTCATGAAAATGTAATATGTAGACAAATGGCTACATGTGTCTAACATAAATCCTCAAGTACATCTGCACACATTTCTATGTGCACATGCGTGTTTATTATGCACACACAGAGCAGTGGACTGGACAGACTCCATAATTCACAAGTAGTTTGCAGGAGACAGTCTGGCTGTGTGGAGATGTTCTGTCATCCCCTCTTGTCGGCTTAACACTGCTGTCCCACAGAGCTAGTTTTCATTCCCTCCATCACATCCCTGGCTCTTCATGTCTCCTCTCCATGCTCTGTAAAATATGTATTTTTCCCCCTGAGTCTGAGAACTGATTTCTCATCTGCTGCAGGATGGGAAGACTCTCCAGAGCTGCAATTCTTTATTCCACCTGTCGAGGCAACAACTGAAGCACACACAAGCCCAGTCCAGTCAGCAACTTAAATCTTGTGATTTGACTGCCAGTTCATCATGTCGGAGGGGTGAAAGGTTACACTGGAGCAGCACCTGGAGATACAGTACGGATGAACTTGAAGGCATGACTGCATGGGGCCCCTTTTTCAGCAAGAGAGATACAATCAGTCCCTTTTATTCTCTGCTCAAGAAAGCAAGTATAATGGGTTTGGCACACTCTGCAATCCCCATCAGTCAAAATTTGGCTTGTCAGGATATTCCAAAATAAGAGAAAGAATAAAAATGTACCGCACTGTGTACTTAAGATACTGGGGGAATTCAAGGACTGTTGCAAAGTGTTTTCAGTGTTGTCAAACTGAATTCATTAGTAGATTTGTAAATTTTGTCCAAAACACTCTCTTAGTCTCTGAGGAGCCTCTTAAACACACACAAACAAGCAAGCTAAGAGAGATTTTCAGCAAATAAGAGCTACAGAGCCGCAGCAGCAGCAGCTGGTTTTTGCACTGTCACATATCATTATTTACATGGCCTGTTCATTATGATTGTACTGATGGTGGCTTGAAGGACACCGTCTGTACTTTTTTTTGTCTTAGTTTGAATATAGCTGGTTAAAGAGAGCTGTCCATCACTGGTTTCAGTAGTGGAGGCTGACCCAAGCCTGCTGGGAACTGAACTGTAGTTAATTAGTGCACAAAGCCTGGGGGACAAAAGATACTTGCAGATGGAGGTGGTGGGGGAGCTCCTTGGAAGTGGGGGTTAGGGGGATAAAGCGGGGGATCTTGAGTTTTGTAGCACAGAGGGACTTTTTTGGGGGGGGGGATCTTGTATGTGTGGGTTCCTGTGTCGGTGGGCAGCAGGAGGGGGGTAGAAGCAGTGAGAGTGGGGGCACACAGAGGGATGAATTAGCAGTGTGAAGGGAAACCCTGTGCTCTGAGCCACTACCAGCCAGCACACACACGCTCTCTCTCTGCTGGAACCCGCCAGGGGACAAAGGCCCGGGTGGGTCTGGGGGAAAGGGACCTAAAAGGAGAGACTGCAAGATAGAAACTGCAAAAGGTCAAAGTATGACATGAACTAATGAGGACAGGCAGTCTGTCAAGACTCTTTGCACTGATATCACTTTGATGAGTAGTAAAACTGTATCTTCTTTCATGGACAGCCAGCTAGGAACCTATTATGTTGCTATGGGGCGTCTGTGGTAGAGTAACGAGTTTTCAATGGCATTACTCTAGAGCTACATGCTTTTATTGTGAAATTGATCTACAATAAGGATATTTGTACGATATCCAATCGATCGATTCCGTCGATCAGGCAACGTTAAATCTGTGTAATCGCTTTTGTTGAATCACCAAGTGTAACTCAAATCACAGGTGGTTATCATGCGGTATCAGCCTCAAAGGCAACTCAATAACCCGCGGGAGGCGCTGTGTATCCATTGTTATCAAAGCTCATATTGACATTCTCCGCCAAGGCGACCACAGTCCATTTGATGCCGGAATTGATCGGCGTTTAGCGGCGGTGAGCGGAGCGTCCAGGCCGGTGCTACCTGCTGCCAGCACGGACAAACACTGCGGGCTGGTGGCCGCTTCTGTCTGCTGGCCAACCAACAAACCAGCCTTCTCCTCCTCCTCCTCCTCCTCCTCCCACCTCCTCACCCTCTCATCCTCAGCGCCCCCCGCCAGCAGCGTCAAGCAGCACGGAGACGCGCAGAAGAAACCCGGAAGTGTAGCGCTTTTGACTTCAAAATAAAAGCGTTGGACGTGGTTTTTGGTGAAAATCAATTTAAAGAATAAATTACCATGGGGTTACGTATAGAGCTCATTACTACAGCCAGTGATGTCAGAGGAGGGTGGTGATGACATCACCGGTTAGGATGAGGTCATCTCAGAGAGCACAGCTGCTGTTTTCTACCTGGTGTGACTCACCTTTTAAATGACATATTGATATGAGGTGTGAAAAGAAACAAAGTGATAATATAAACATTTTATGGTATTATGACCACAGACTGTGGGATTGTGTTGTGAAAAATTGCCTCATGGTGGGGCAAATAGGCTACAAATATTAAACTAAACTAAAATAAAATAAAAGTCCTCATTTATTAGTTTTTCTATATGAGTATATATATGTCTATAGTAATGTATATGTTATTGGAAAATAACAAAGCTTCTAAACATATAAACTCTAAGCCCTATCTAATTCTAAAGCCTATAAACTCTACATAAGAGAGGAGAAAGATTATAAGCGAAGCAATACGTTCATACATTTCTAAGTTTACAACAATACAAATTCTTCTTAGACTTTTCTTTTAAGATAAGATTACCTTTATTGATCCCATGCAGGGAAAGATGTTCTAACACAGCTGCATTGTAGCCCATAGATCAGTCACTTTTATATAACTACAACACTACACACCAGAATACAATCATCATATAAATGGGAGACAATGTTTTCCCACTTGCATGAAGCCTACGGAATTGATAGTAAAAATAGATAAACAAACAAACAACACAATAACATTTATAATAATAATAATAATAATGATAACATTGTGAAATATTTCTTTGTACCTGTGAGACTCCATTCTCATCACATCCTGAACACAGTCTGACTCTGACTCATATCATCTCTCTTGTTACCAACTTCAGACTACCTCATTGTATTTAAGCTTTATGTATTTTTGTTCTTGACTATATAATTATGTGTGCTTCATTGAAACTTCAGAACTCTTGTCATAATAATAATAATAAGAAGGCTTGGGGAATAATGGATTACATGTATCTTTAAAAAAAGGTATGTGTAGTCCATTAAAGTTAAAGGTAAAAAAGACGTAATCAGATTACAGTTACATTTAGTAAAAGTGTGGATTATTTATTTCAATTTAAAATACATCAGTTTTTCTTGACACATTTTTAACGTTTCCATTTTCTTTTCTATGGTTACACTGTTGTGTTGTCCTATAGAATACACATACACTAATACTTCTTATTGACATTTATTTTCTCTTGCTTTTATTTACATATTTGGTGTTGAGGTATGCCCAATTACAAAAGTAACAGAAAGTAGTCAAGTTATGTTGCTTACGGTCAATAATAATAATAATAATAATAATAATAATACATGTCGGTGTGTTTTGTCCCCTAAATGAATAAACAAGGTAATGAATAGCACGTAGCCTACTATTATTTTTGAAATCCCGACCGGAAGCTCGACGTCCACCGCGCCCGCCTTGACACTGCCTGCGCCCCCAGCCCCCTCTCTGTGTCTCTGTCCCACTGTTGCCATTCCGACGCACATCCCTCGCAGGCGAGCAACAGCTACGCGGAGTTGGCCAAAGTGGACTACACAGATTCCTCTGCGCGCAGACCCGACTCCACACCCGGCTCTCCATCCTCTGCTCGGGGCGAACAGCAGCAGGGAGATGCGCCCCTGGACAGAGGTTCGGTGTCGGTAAAGTCAGATAAAGAGAATGAGAGTGAGACAGGGCGCAGTGTAGCGCTCCTGTAGCATCGCATCCACCACTCAGGAATAACGGGACCCGATTAAATGCAACAGAAAGAAGCGCTCGGTTATTTCTCTGAGGATTGCTGTCGGTAGAATGGGGCGGTGAGAGCCTCATCGCAACTGAAGTCATGAGAATTGGGAGAGGAACAAAAAGCTCGGCTGCGGTGCTCTGTGTTTGAGTCTCCATCCACCCGAAGGGTCCAGTCTACACACCTTTATTCATGTTGCAAAAGCCTGTTTTATGACAATGGATTACTTGCTGTGGGTGTGCAGCCTCATTGTTCCCGTGGTGCTGGCCGTGGAAGGTACGTCGTTTTTATTTATCTGTATGAATACTTTTATGTCCCGTGAATGAACAATGGGCTGTTTGGATGCATTAGAATATGGCAATAAAAAAAAACACCTTATTGTCAACAAGATAAAATAAACACATTAACACAAGCAAAACCATGTGTATGTACAGGAGCCCACAGTGTGTATTTCTATGACAATGTGTATCATATTGGGGTCAGCCCATTCCGGCTGTTTAAATACCGGATCAGTCATGTATGCTGCTGCTGCTGTAGGTGGAATTACATCTGTAAGCAAGACTCCGTTCATGTTTTGGTTAATTAAAGCTGTTAATATAATGCAGACCCGCTCTGTTAAATAGGCAATTCCGCTGAGTATCAATTTGCTCTCTGATTGTAATCCATGTACACATGTATCAGCACGCCCCGTTCCCTCTGTGTGTGTGTGTGTGCGTGTGTTTGCGTGCTGTGTTTGTTGTGTATTTGTGTGAAGACATCCCAGTGTTTCCATTGCGGCTGAAGGACAGCCCTGTTGCTATTGTCCCTGTTGTTGTCACACCCACAAGCTGAGTGAGGATGCCCACCTGCCCCACCTTTTCTCCCCACAGCACCAGAGGGGTTAGACTCCCACCACAGAGACAGTACAGAGGGGCGTCCCTCTGAAACAGAAACACACTCCTCATAAGATGAATGCCAAAGGTTTCAAACCTGCTGGTGGGTCCTCCCACCAATCAGTGCTGTGGATGCTTAAACACAGACCGGAGCGGATCAATCCCGGCCCCTGAAGCTCCACTGGGACACACATGTGAAACACATTAGATGACAAGTGTGAATTAAAGGTCAATGGCTTAACAAGTATGCTGCAGCCCACCGAAGCTCCCTCCATCACCGAGGGAGTGTTGCTCCAGGGAGAAGCCCACCCCTCGCCACCGCCGCTACCCACCCAGCGACTCCTCTCTGAACTGTAGCTACATTTCTCTGCCTTGCACCCCTCCCTCCCTCCCTCCCTGCCTGTCCAATCTGCCTCTCCTGGACTGTGGCCAGACTGATCCCTCATCAATTCTGGTGTCAGCAAAGTAAATCAATGCAGCGGTAGCAGCCCTCCAACTCCCAGTGGGCTCTCATGCCGTGACGATCAGACCCGTTTCCCCAACTGGACCACTAGCTGTTACTTAAAGCTCAGGGGTTAACTAATGTTTGTCCTCTGAGGATAAACATGAAGGGCAGATCATCGGATGGGTTTAAACGAGGGGGGAAAGGAGGCCTTTTTTTCAGTGAGTTGCGTGTCGTTTATTTAGCTGCTTACTCAGTGAATTTCGACACATGGCTTGAATCTGGAATTTGTTTTTTTTTCAGACTGGCAATTGTTTGCGCATGGATGATGCAAGCTGGACTGCAACTTGAAGTGTGTGCTTATTTACAAAAGCTACAGTGATGACTTATCTCCAATTCACACCAACAGACTGCTGTAAAAGCCTCAGCAACTGTGACATTTTTATGTTGTATTGCTCTCATTTACAGTCAGCGTTTACTGTAGTCTTATTTTAAAAGCTCATAAACTAGATGGATGACCACTCAGAAAGCATTTTATAAAAGGATCTACAGGACGTAGACGCGCGATCGTAGGAAAAGCATCAGGAGCAGGTTTTCTGACGGTTTTCAGCACAGAGCTTCATTTACATTTTCCTGCTTTCTGTACATCAGAATATCAACAAGAATTATTATTGTAAAAGCAGATGCAAGAAGCCCCGAAGAAAGATTAAATTAGGTCAGCTTGACTTATTCAGGAACTGCTCATCAAGCGTCAAACTGGGCATCACACTTGACTGTTACCACTGTGGTTCTATAAAGAGGAACATGCACTCAAATACAAATGAAGCGTTGCTTACAATGAGCTCAGACGTCAAGAAGAATCTCCTGATTTGCACCTTTTCCATAAGCACGAACTTGATCATCCTCCGATCACTGATGATGATGTTTGGCTGTTAATATTTCATATGTTTGCTTGTTGGCAGTGTCATTGTAGTACAAGGCGAGGCCTCCCTCTTTCATGATGCACCCGCTCTCACAAAGTGAATAAAACATTAGCATGTGTGAGCTCCCAAAGCGCACTGAGAATACAGAGTTGTGTGGCATTTGGGTTCCAGCGGGCGATCAGAAAAAACAGTAAATGCCATGGGTGGTGATGCTCTAAAGTTCCCACTGCAGCATTGTTTTCTTACCCCAGGGGCAGAATGACTCCACTGCTGCTGTAGTTTTATGGGAGTGGAGGAGGATGTTGGGGGGGGGTTCTGGATTTGAGTTATAGCAGCAAGGCGATCTCAGAGGTATTGTAAATTTGACAGGAAGGGGTAGAACTCTGGAACAAATGGGATCTTTTTCAATCTTAACCGGTTTCTAGGATTTAGTGAGTTGACGTTAACACACTTTGGTGCACAGGGTTGTTGTTGAACGATAACCTCTTTCAAACGGAAATTTTAGTGTTTTAGAGCAACACGTGTCTGGACTCAGATGGTAAGCTTGAGGATGCACCGTGTCACCCCCTCCGTCTGGCTTATAATAGTTTTAAAAAACAACGACTTTAAAATCATTGTAGAGAAATTCAGTCTTCTCCTAGGTCAAAGGTCAGGTTGGGATACAGGAAAGCGCCTCCAGAGCTGCTAGGGATTTAGTATCTTGCTCAAGAGTGCTTCAGCGGGGTGAAATCCTGCTTACACAGGGGCTTGAACCCAGCTTTCACAGATGTAGGATGGTCAACCTGCTGGCCCTCAGTGTGTGAGGTGAAGCCTGTTTAAAGGAGCATCAGCTCAGACCCGTAGTTAGCTGAGCCTGAGCGATTCTGCCTCTGTTGCCTTCGGGCACCAGGAGAGAAGAGGGATGGGGTGACGCACCGGATCAGACACCCAAGGGACGGGCTGGATCAGCAGCATGTAGTCCAGGAGTATTCACTCAGCTGTGTGCCACTGAGGGCCGAGTGTAGCCAAGCAAAGACAACAGCCGCTGATTTCACTGATTAGTTCCTCCTCTCTGGCTCAAATCGTAGTAATCAGTAAAACAACCTTGTTCACAACCGTATATTTGGGTTCGACAACTGAAGTTATTAGCTGCTGTCGCTCGTGTCCCTACACACACAAGAATAGAGGACAGAGAATGCGTTTATAAACGAGGAACGGGGCTCGGTGTTGTATTTAAAGCTCTGTCAGTAGATGTACATTTGCTTTGTGCATAGAAATTACTTATTATTATGCAGAGGAAAATGGAATTTCCATTGTCAACAAAGATGGAGGCGCACACTTATTCATTTTGAAATTTAGGAATAGGCCGTTTAAAAGGCTGTTATCTGCTCATAAAAGAATTCTGGTTAAAGCTACAAACCACATGCTGAACTAATGCAAGATTCCTGTTGCTCACTATTTAGAAATGATCGAGTCACTGTGAGTTCATGTGATTAGTTAATGCTTAATGGCTCATCACATAATGATTGTTAATTCAAATGTACTTCATACACTAATTTATATACCACCAAATTAGCTGGAATCCAGTTACACAGGAAAGGGCTTTTCAGAGCTACGCATGTGATCAGCTTGAAAACAGAACTGTAGTTTGCACTCAGAACTATGAAGATGTTTATCAGAGTGGTAGTCTAATATGCTAAACATCTACATGTTGCTGCATGACTAATTGATGATCTATTAAGCATTAATTAATCACATAAACTCAAGAGTGGTTTCATCATTTCTTCTGGTGATAAACAGGAATTCCTGATACTTCCTGCATTAATTCATGCTTTAGATAATCAGGAATCACAATTTAGTTACGGTCCAGTGGGTCACATATACACAGGACATATATAATACAATATAATATTCATTGGTATGTTTTTATTAGTGTATAATCGTTTTTGTTTTTGTTATCTTAGGATGACCCTTTTATATCTACAGACAGCACAGGTCGCCCTCCATGGAGTCTGCCATGTTGAACCACCATGTTTCTACAGTAGCCCTGAACGGACAAACCAAACACTGGCTCCAGATAGGGTCTTTTGTGTTTCTTTTGAGTTTCACAGACACCATAGTTCCTCCTACACACTTTACTCCCAGGTTGTCAAATACAGACGCGAGTGGTGTTCAGTTAGTGGCAATCTACAACTTCACTGCTAGATGCCATTAAATCCTACTACTATTACTTTAAGGGAAAAGTTGAACATTTTAGGAAATTTACTTTGTCCCTTTTTTGTCGAGTGTTAGATAAGAAGGTTGATGCCACTCTTAATGTCTGTCGGCTAAATATGAAGCTAAAGCCAGCAGTGGGTTAGCTTAGCTTAGCATAAAAACTGTGGTAAGGGCAGGGGGAAAGCTAGCCCAGCTCTGTCCACATTTGGTAACAAAACCCAAATGTAGTCTGACATAACAGTGATTTGTTGTTTTTACACTGATAGGCCGATTTTATTTGCTAGCCCAGCCAACTCTTTCCCCCAGTATTTAGCTTCTACCGCTAGCTTCATATTTAACAGAACAAGAGCGGTATCAATGTTCTCATCGAACTCTTGGCAAGAAGGCGAATAACCGTAATTCCTAAAATGTTAACCTTTGAGCATGTATTTTCTATCTTTATTACAGATAATTTCTCAGATCAAGATGGATCATTGTCTGTCAAACATGACATTATTATTTTTGAAGGGGACCAAAATACTCTGAGAACATTTTGTACATAGTTTATGACTGTGCATCAAAGACCACTTGTCAACTCTTGTCAACTTGTTTTCCATTTACACACACAGCCAATCTCATTTGCATAGAAACAAAGAACTAGGAAGTCCTACTACTTGCTTGTGGTCTTGTCTGTAACTGCAGTGTAAATGTGAACACATGAAGCACTAAAATGAGGAGAGATAACTGCATTTAATGCAAGTATGATTTGCACCTTCTTACAGTCTTTGGTTACAGTGGAAACGCTCATTTGCTTGACTCTCCATGGCACACAGTGAAACACCACAGATGCAATCTATCCCGTTGGATGTAGTGATCACTATTCATTATCTCTATAAAGAAGAAAAGCCATTGTGGTTTCTCTAATGAACCCACAGCACAGACACTGTAAACACTGCACATATCTCTAGCTCAGCAGCTACAGATGGACCAGTGATCTCTTCACTCAATCAAACAACTTCTATTATTGACACACAAAAGCCAAGGACACATTGCACTGTAACTCTTCTGTCTTTAGAGCAAAAATGCAAGGTTATTATGAATATACAACACTATCAGAACAAAGCCATGTTTATTGGAACTGGTTTTGCTCTTGTACCACTCAGGACATGCTATTTGTTTACCCCATCACGCCCTCCTTTAGCACCGTTATCAACGACTTGTGAGCAAATGGTGCACAGCAGGCGTCGTGTCATTGAGTCTCCATGAAGAAAGTGTAATTGTTTCAGTAATTATGTGCTAACAACAACAGAACAATGGGAGTCAGCGTGGTCACAGCTGTATATTGAGGACCTAGAGAGGGGTTGCTTCTTCTGAGGTGTTAAAATGAACTTGCTGGACCACCAGGTGACAACTGATTGACAACCTGACAACAATGCTCATTGATCCTGCTGTTTATTCTCTGCCTCTGCCCTGATTGTCTGCCCAGCTCTCACCTCCTCGCAAAGTCGTAAACAGCCCGGTGACAAAAACAACTGCTCAGATCACCTGTTTGACAAATCTCAGCCGAGAGGCATCACGCACTCGGCACCGGCGGATGCTCCCGCTCACCCCCCTCCCCAAATGTGATATATTAAATTTGCCTGTGCCTGTATGACCTCTCTGAACTGGTGCTGCTTAATGGAATTCTTCCCACTGAAGGCATCTTGGAGGATGCTTTGTTCCCAGCTCCACAAATGAATATTGAAAGGAGTGCATTTGCGAGTGCCAAACACAGAGAGAGAGAAAGCCTTAATTAGGCGGCATCACAGATATGCCATGATTGTCAGTGCTTTCAAAAACTGAGTGCATGTGGGTGCAGGTTTTAAAAGAGAGGGAGAGGAAGTTTTACCTGCATCCTTTGTCAAGCAGGGGGAACTTTTTGTGTGTGTGTGTGTGTGTGTGTGTGTGTGTGTGTGTGTGTGTGTGTGTGCTCCTTAATGCCTTGCAATAATCTGGTTTCTCCTCCTCACACCATTTAATTCAGGTTCATCAACCTTCCTCCTACTCTTTTTTTTTTGCAGAAACCCTTATGGACAGTCGATGGGCAACCACAGAGCTGGCTTGGACCACGTTCCCAGAGAGTGGGGTGAGTTAGTGTGTGTGCATGTGTTTCATTTGTTTTGTGTGTGTGTGTGTGTGTGTGTGTGTGTGTGTGTGTGTGTGTGTGTGTGTGTGTGTTTTTGTTCCATTTGCTTGTTAATAGAGCCCAGTCTGCCTTGAACAGCACACCTCCTACTGTTTTATATCTTTGTTTTTGCCGTGTATGTTTGCTTTCTTGGATACTAAAAAGCAAATGAGAAACACACTGTGTGACATTGTTCAGAAGAAATCAAGGGTTTTCAGTATTTAGAAAATGCTAAAAGCTTGAGGAACAAATATAGTACTTTAAACAAACAAATGAGCAAACACGCAGATACACAAAGTAAATCCCCACAGTGTGTAAGGACTATTAGGTAGGCTCTACCTTGTGTGTCTCCCCAGGATAGAGAGCCTGATAATTGAAAGCATGTGTCTGTGTCTTTTATAATATGGGCCCAAGAGCGCATTACAGGCAGAAATTAAGGTTTTCAGTTGATACCCCCTATAGGAATGGTGAGAAAATAAAACAACATGAATTTGACCCCAGGGCTAACAGCCTGACAGACCTCCCCCACTCCCGGCCGGTGTAATTTGTCTTCGCTACGTGAGCGCAAAGTCAGTCAATGGAAATGGTGGGTTTCCATGGAAACGATCTTCGGCAGCCCTCCTCCTTCCTTCTCTTACAAGGGCCGGCTCTGAATGTCCTAGCATCCATGAAGTCATATGTCACGACTGGTGAGGCAGCCCCTCTCCTCGCGCCTGACAAGCCCATACGTTCGGGGGCCGGCAATTATCATATTTGTCAGGTAGTGCATCAACGTGTTGCTGGTGATTTACGACGTCTAATGCTGACTCTTGGGCTCATCGTTTGGGAATAAATTGCACAGGAGCTCAGAGACGTGAGATGAGTTATGCATTATTTTCTTCCAGTTGAGATAATCAATATTTAGGAAGCTCATTTGTTATGGAAAAGAAGCATTCAGTCCAAGGGGGAATTAGGAAAAAAATCAAAAAAGATTGACTTCTCACAAGGTTATTTCCTAATGGACTAAATTTATTGATCAATGAAGCCATTTATCATTGCCTGTAACGTTAGCTACCATTTATACCAAGACTAGTGTTAATAATCTATAAAGCTTTACATTGACATGGTTCTGACACACAAACAGAAGTCGTGTCCAATGTCATGTTAAGTCCTTAAATGATTCTTTTCAAAGCTACGTGATGTAAAAAGACACCAGTCTACCTGGCATATTAACCACAACAGATGCAAATATCTGCTCTCAGGCTATATGTGTAGGCATGAGAAAATAGATACATAATATATTCTGCGTAACCTCGAGTGCTCAGGAGTGCTGCCACAGTGCAATCACACTGACAGCATTGCATTTAGATGGCCATTTTAATAAATAACTCACTGTTGCATTATAGATATATGGGAAAAGTTTCCATTTAAAATGCACAGTTTTATACTCTCATCTCTCTTAGCACAGATAACAAATTTGTACATTATGGAAACCAAATCTCCTCTTGAGGCTATTTCGATTGCACTGCAGCAGTTATAGATATGAGCACTGCTTCCTATGAGTGTGTCTGCAGTGTGTTTAATAGCCACTGTAGGTAGACTTTGATAAAGGCCCCACCAGCACATCTGTGATAATCTTAGCTGCAGAACATCCCTCTTTTTCCAAACCTCAAACACGTGATCAGCATCAGAACTGCTAGTCAAATAGGCATAATGCGTGAAATGTGTTTTAATGGGAAAATGTTTTCTATTAATAGTCCGTAGTGATTGAAATTTTCTGAATGATTCATGCAATTAGAAGCATTTTAACTGCAAATTATTCCTCACAGGCCACATGTACGCAGCACACTGTGGGAAAGTGTGTGTTGGTGTGCATGTGTTGCATTTTTATATCCTGTTTGTATCACACATCACTTTGCTGTTTTGAATGCCCTCTATGCCTGAATGGTTTGCATTAGGATTCGCTGCATTTAACATTACCCAATATAAATTAACAACATATTGGACCAGTGAGTTTCTGCTGTTGCTCAGTTGCTGCTGAATGAGAAGTAGAACTGTTGCCACATTAAAAACAAGCATTATATAATCAACTTAATTTAGTCTCATTTTATTCTTAAGCCTGCTCCACTCCTCTCCCCATCAGTCATCCACAGTTCTCACAGTATTTAGTTTTCCCAGCTTCCCTGCTGTCATCTCTTCCTTTGTCACAGTGTGTCTCTGTTGTTTCCGCAGTGGGAGGAGGTTAGTGGCTACGACGACTCCATGAGCCCAATCAGAACCTACCAGGTGTGTAATGTTCGACAGCCCAACCAGAACAACTGGCTCAGGACAGACTTTATTCCCCGCAAGGGCGTGCTGCGCGTCTATGTGGAGCTCAAGTTCTCCGTTCGTGACTGCGCCAGCATCCCCAACATCCCCGGCTCGTGCAAAGAGACCTTTAATCTGTTTTACTATGAATCAGAGGGGGACACAGCTACAGACACCAGCCCTCTGTGGAGGGAAAACCCCTATGTGAAGGTGGATACTATCGCCCCAGATGAGAGTTTCTCTCTGCTGGAGACGGGCAGGATCAACACCAAAGTACGCAGCTTTGGCCCCCTCTCCAAGGCAGGCTTCTACCTGGCGTTCCAGGACCTGGGCGCCTGCATGTCGCTCATTTCAGTCAGGGTTTTCTTCAAGAAGTGCTCCACCACCATCGCCAATTTCGCTGTCTTCCCCGAGACTGCAACAGGGGCTGAAGCCACCTCCTTAGTGATCGCTCCGGGGGCCTGTGTGACCAACGCTATGGAGGTGTCCGTCCCTCTGAAGCTGTACTGTAACGGGGACGGCGAGTGGATGGTTCCTGTGGGCTCGTGCACCTGCGTTGCCGGCTTTGAGCCTTCTGCAGACGGCACTCAGTGCCAGGGTATGTGTATTTAACAGACATTTGGACTTTTATTTAACCAAACCTCCTTTATATGCTCAGTGCAAGTCACCTCAGTCTGTGCCCTCTTCTCTGCATTTATTGTGTGGCTCCTGAAAGGGGGTGAAGGAGGGTGGAGGAGAGTATGAATTAATGAGGTGTTGCAGAGAGGAGCAGCATACAAATATTGTGAGAGCGGGACGGGAGGGAGAGAAAGATAGCGGGAAAGCACAAAATAGAGAGCCAGAGAGGAAAATGCAGATAATAGGCATCCGGAGTCCAGAGAAGAGAGATTTTAACAGAGGAAGGGAGATAGTGTGAGTTAAAAGGTGTGAATTGCCAAAGATGGGATGGAAACAGCAGCCAAAAGGAGAAGAAAGGAAAGGGAGGGGGGCTGCAGGAAGTCAAAGACAGACAAGCGAAGCCTCCTCTCACCTGGGCGTGAGAAATAGTGTCTAACATGCGCTGGAGAGCTCATTCGTTGCCATTTGGCGGCTCAAGGTTAAAAGCTTGCCGCCAATGCCTGATAAAAAGCTCTCTAGGGCTTCAGCAAGCGGTTGCGATGAGGAAGTGTAATTTCCTCCGCGGCCTCCCGTTAGTTAATCTACAGGCGGCCACACTCATTAACACCATTCAGACCAACGTGAGCCAACACTGCCACGCTAACATTAATCACTCAGACATTTCATTTCTTACCTCAGTCTCGCCACTCGATTGCAGCCAAGCACCGCATGGGATGGAGAGAGCGGTGGAGAAGAGGAGGGAGAGGGGAGACAATAAAGGGGGAGAGGGAAACATTAGTGTATCAGAAACTGGAGGATCATCGTGCCCTCCAAAGAGGTTTATGGATTGAAGGAAGACAGTGGGGTGATTCAGAACACTCTCGAAAAAAAAATCTAGGAAAACAAACAAATAAAAGAAAATGATGATGCACTGTGTAATAGAAGAAAAATAAATCAGATCAGAGAGTGTAGAGCCTAAAGGTCTCGGTGAATTATGAGAGGAGAAAAAAAAAAAAAGAGTACATTTTCATCTTATCTTCTTTGGCTTTTTATTGCACGGCTTTAGAGCCACAATGCGGGGCCATTAGCTGTGCTGATTTTCCTAAAAGTGCCATTGTTGGGAATTAGGGAGGAACTTGAGTTCAAACTGAAAGACCACTTAGCCTAACTAGTTAATCACACTCTCTCTCTCTCTCTCTCTCTCTCTCTCTCTCTCTCTCACACTGGCTGGCTTTTATGAGCCCTCATGCTGACAGGACAGATGTTTGCCAGAGACCCCACTTTTACACCACCAGTTAGGAATGTGGCAAACAGTAAAACGTGGGGCTCTGGAGGCAGATATATCCAAACCTTTAGCTGCTAATCCCCTTTATCTGAATCCTTCTTTAGTCTGGGCTTATGCAGGTTTATCCTTAAGACTCGATACCAGCCAACCTTCAGCGTGACACTTTGGAATTCAAATTAAATGCTTGGACACATCGTCTTAAGATTACCATACTTTGTATGTTTTTCTAATAACTCTCTGTTGCTAATTTACGTCCAGTCTGTTTCCCCTTTATTTGAATTGATTTATTGGCTTATTATGGAGCTGTTCTGCATGCATGTGGAGGCCTTGTTTGTATTCAGCGGTGTGGTTTGGAGAGCTGAGGACCGAACAGACACTGATTGATGGGTTTAGGGTGTATCCCTTTTCTCAGAAGCATTCTCCATCCCTGTTTGTCTGACAACAGCAATCTCCTGTCAACAGTCTATCTTCATCTTTATCCTCCTTTTCCTCCTCTTCAACAAGAAACTTAGCTGTCATCCAGACTCTCTTTTTGGGGAGATTAATGTCACCTGGTAGAGAGAGCAGCAGATGCAAATATATAGATAAGACCTTAAGTGTTTGCTATTTCTCACATACGTATCAACATTTTTTACATAAATATCAGCTTTGCAGATACTTCACAGGTACAGCTTTTGTTCAGTGACAGACGTGACAGCCGCTTGTCTTTTAGATAAGTGACAGCACAGCATCTTTTTGTTGTTTTGTTCTTATTGTCCCCTTTATTTTCTCTCCCGCTCATCCAGCTTGCATCCCTGGGACCTTCAAATCCAAATTTGGGGAGGGATCCTGTGCTCCCTGCCCGTCCAACAGTCGCACCAGTGCACGAGGAGCCAATATTTGTCCCTGCCAAAATGGTTTCTACCGAGCTGACAGCGACCCGCCTGACTCCGGCTGCACCAGTAAGTCATCCTTCACTGCACAGACTAAAGAAATACTCCAATTTTCTCACGCTGAGTCTCTTTTGAAAAGTCAGAGGATTAGAAGTAACATATGGCAAATTATCAGTGCCAGGCTGAATCTATCAATGAACATATCCTTGGTGTTTGTTCTGACTGTACTGTAATTGTAATTACCAAAAAGAAGATAGTTAAAGCCTCAAAGCTTTATTTGATATTTTTATAATAACAAAGCCAAATGACAATATAAAAACAATGTGACAATGTGAAAGGAGTTGCTTATAGTGATGAACTTACAGGGAATTATGGCCTGAATCTGCAACTCCTCAACTTTACTGTTCTGGTTCTCTCTCACCGCTCTCATATTGTCGTTACGACCGCAACAGACAGCTGTTTTCAGCAAAAAAAAGCTCTGATAAACCCACTGTTTAGCATCAAATAACAGATAAACACAGAGACTAGCTGATGAACAAAGTGGAGCGTTTAGCAGCTAAAGAGACAGAAATCTCCCTCAGGAGTTGTTGGAGACCAAAAACAGAGCTAAAAGAGAGTGAATATTGGATTTAGGTTCATCAGATGGCCCGAAACCCGACTCCAAATGCAGCATAATGTTGTAATGTAATGCTGTGTAAATGCTGGATGAGTAAATAATCAACTGTTCTTTAACAAGTTTGCCATAACAACTTAATATGGCCCCCTACATTATTTATCTCCAGGGGTGTAAAGTTTTGGTGACGACTGACAATGTTGGATCATTGGATTGGAGCCATATTGGTGTCCGTGGTAGTTTAAAATGGGCGGTAGGTTAGGCAACTCAAAGTGAAATCTTTGTCGATGTTAGCTGCTGCTCCTTGCTGTTAGTCTCATCAGTGATTTGAGCTTCCACTTTTAAAGTGAAACAAACTCTTAACAACACGATGGGTCCTTCCAAAGGTTGAATGTTATAAAGTGACAGACGTCTTAAATCACATTACGTAACCAGTTGGCTTGTTAAAAAACTGATAGAACCCTTCTTGTGAGCTGTATAGGGCTGTGACGCTCTGTAGTTGGAAGTGTACCAAAGAAGATGACATCTCCAGCATTGCTGGCCCTCAAATGTTGGTTAAACACAGCCATGGAAACCCTCCTAATGCTTAAACACTGTTTCCACAAATAGTTAAAAAAAAGCAAAATGATGCACTGTAGCTGCAGTATCGTTTAAGCCTAAACAAAACTGACTAAAAATACTGTAGAGAATTCAAAATTTAGTTCTACTTTAAAAATGACAAAATATGCAGCTGTATGTAAATATTTCTCAGTAGTTTGGTCTGGTGCTGACAGCAGCATCCATGCTTGTACTGCATGGACAATCCTCTGAGAGAAGTCCCAGCAGTCATGCTGATGGAGAGCGACATGTGCTGTCTTGACCGTGTAAAATCACCCCCCAGGGGCCTTTCGCCACGTTAAATGACACACGAGGTCCGCAACTGTCTTCCCCAGATCCTTGTCACAGGAACACTGTGGACACTGACCAGCGCACACAGACAGGCGGGCAGGGACACAAGCACCACCTCCGACTAAACATGCAAACACACACAAACACACACAGGCCTGACAGTTCTGTCCCTGCGGTCTGTCAGAGCTTGTGCCAGGCAGCCTGTGCTTTGTGTTGGAAGTGGTGTGTTGCACAAGGGAGGCTCAGCCAGTCAATGGCCGGCAGCTTGGACTCAGCGTGTGTTTCAGATGGGTGTCCAATTAGAAGAGCCTCCACTCTGAACTGTGTCTGCCTAATTAGAAAGGACAGGACGAGTGAAAACGCAGCTCAGGGCAGGCTGCACTCAGAGGACAGGCGGTGTTTGGCCGGCAAAGGCTGATGGCCTGAGAGCCGTCCCTTCTTCCCCCAACCCCCCCGACTCTCTTTCTCTCTCTCTCTCTCTGTGCTTTGAGACAGGTTAGACTTTCTGCCGCTGGAAGCTTAGAGGGAGAGCCCTTCTCTCCTTTCGCTGTAATAGGATGAAAAGCATGGTCGCTGAACCAATCTCTGTTGCCCCCCTCTGTGGTTATCATACTTTATCCAGGTTTCAAACACTTCACACAAAATGCAGCACTGCTTATTGAAACATGGAGGCCTTGGGTTATACTGATACAAGAACATGAATTTCTATCAATAGTGGATTAGCGAAGTTCCACGAGCTGCAAGAGGGGTTATGCATAGGAACGGATGCTGGTTACAGCGTAGAGCAGTAACAGGATTGTACTTTTCATAAAGGCACATTACTTAGTAATGAACAGTGGTGTTCTGCTTGTGCATGACAAGTTTTATTTATCCTCCTGTTTCTGAATATGTTGACTTATTTATATGCAGCAGGAAGGATTTTTCCCTGTTGCTATGTTTTTTCCGTGTTTCCATGCCCTTTGCTCCATTCTAAGGGTTTGTTTGGGGCATGTAATGCAATCTAACACATGTATTTAAGGATTTTATAAAAAAAGAATAGCATACCTATTTCTGTACATGAAATACTTCCTTTTGTTGCCTTCTCACAGAGATATTAAAACATTTCTTACACCACTGAGGGACGATAATGTAAGCACTGCATAGGGAACATGACTAAAGCTTCAGTTGTGTGTTTTTCTGTTCTGCCTGCCCACCTTCTCTAACACCTACTACGTGTGTCTTGTGTGTGTGTGTGTGTGTGTGTGTGTGTGTGTGTGTGTGTGTGTGTGTGTGTGTGTTTGTGCAGCCATCCCCTCGGCGCCTCGCAACGTTATATCTAGTGTGAACGAGACCTCGCTGTCCTTGGAGTGGGAGGAGCCCAAGGACACAGGCGGGAGGAGCGATCTCGTCTATAACGTAGTGTGTAAGAAATGCCTGCGAGACCGGAGCCCCTGCACACGCTGCGACGACAACGTGGACATCGCTCCTCGCAGGCTGGGGCTGAGGCAGAGGAAGGTGGTAGTGAGGAATCTGCAGGCTCACACCCGCTACAGCTTCGAGGTGCAGGCGGTCAATGGGGTTTCTGGGAAAAACCCCACCTCACCCAGCTACTCCACAGTCAACATCACCACCAACCAAGCCGGTTAGTAGAAGCTCTGTCAATGACATCGGATGTGTCCACAAACCAAGTTAATTCATAGAGCAGCTCCGATCAATACCACTTAACATCACAATGAAACGGGCTGGTTAGTGGATCCTACATTCAGTCAATGTCAATGAGTGTCTTAATGAGCTCGTAGTATCAGTATTAACACCAACGGTAAACATTGTTGAACGAGCTCAGTGAGAGCGACAGATGGGAAAAACTCTAAGCTGGAGCTCTGCTTTTCTGAGGGAGTTACAGGAAAGGCAGATAAAATGTTAAGTATACTTTATATCTCCACTGTCAGCATTCAGCACACTGTCAACCAGCCGTCTTACGTTACATCACTGACAATGTCACCTTTCAACATCTCCTCTTAATATTTGCAGCGTCATCATCAACCAAACTGCTCAGCACCTTTCACAGACTGTAATTACTCTCCCAGTTAACCTGCACTTACCTCCACCTCAATGCAGTTTATGGACCCAAGACAATGACTGTCAGTTGAGTCACTTTCAGGCCTCACAAATCAATAAACTGCAGAACAGTGAAGGTGAAACATGTACCGTTCAGGTTGATGTATTTTGAATAATAATTATTTTACTGTGATGGTTTGCGACATTGACAGAGAAAATCTTGGCAACTCAGACCTTTTAAGTGACAATCCCCCAACTAATAAAGTACCTTAAAGTACCTCAACTTAAAGTCCCCGTCCTCTCAAAAATCAGTGTTTCTTGTTCCTACAGTGTGATGTTTGAATGATGTATGTTGGCGCTATACAAATAAAATTGAAATTGAATTGAATTGAATTGAAATGTATGTGCAGAGTTTGACATTAGAAGGATGTTTTCACATTCATCTGTTGAAAGTGGCAAAGTTTCTCTGTGCTCTCACTATTTGTATGTCTTACATGTCTGTAGGGGATCTTTAAAGTACCTTAAACTAATGTAAACTGTCCTCTCTGACTATCCGACCGCAGCGCCATCAGCTGTGCCCACCGTTCATCTGATGCGCTCCACCTCAGACACTCTCAGCCTGTCATGGCTACCACCTGAGAAACCCAACGGGGTCATCCTCGACTACGAGATTAAATACCAAGAGAGGGTAAGCTCTAGGCAACTGCTAAGTTTTTAGCAGTTGCCTTAATGTAGGTCACAGTGCACGCCTTATTGACTCTGAAAATCTACTTTTCCAGCCTTGTGCAGAGCGAGAAGCATTTTTACGGATGCTGAAAAATGTAATATTAAAATGGGATGTGTATGGAGGGCATCGATAGAGTCTTGAAATATCTATTGTTGGAGATTATGGGCTGTTCAGACTCAGCAACTGCTGATGTAAATGCTGCATCAATGGTATTGATCAAATCCCCTAGTAAACCCCTGCAGAAATAAGATGCAGATATAGACCAAAAACAGGACTGTCTGTCTGTTTTGCAGAGATTTCCATAACTATTGAAGGCAACATCGTGTCTTAACATCTACATAACCACCCCATTGTTTAAACCTCCTTCTCGACAATGAGTAGAATAATAATTTTAATTTATTTGATTAGCCAGTTCAGTGCTTTACTGGATGGATTGACATAAAGTTGAGCTAGGTTCTACTTTTTTGCTGGAGTTAAACTAACTTTTGACTGAATATTGGCTTGTTGCATTGGAATATTGGAGCAGACCAACCAACCAAAAGATTGATTCCTCACCTACGAGCCATCTGAAAACCATGAGAAAACCCTCGACACTGCTGCTTTAACGGTCCTTTGTCTACTTCAGGGCCAGGCCATGTCCCACACTGTAACATCCCAGCATAGCTCATCCAAGGTGGAGGGGCTGCGGGCCGCCACGCCCTACGTGGTGCAGGTCAGAGCTCGCACTGTTGCTGGATACGGACGCTACAGCAACCCTATGGACTTCAGCACCAGCCTGCACAGTACGGACAAACCTCTCTCCTGCTTTATAGTCTATTCTTGATGATCTGCTGCTACAGTTTTCTTAATGAGGGTTCATGCTTAGTAGTTTTTATGGCTGCTTTAATTGGTATCCATTACACTTGCAGTACAGGCCACCATTTAACCCCTCAAGTAGTTTTTCTCTTATTTACTCATTTGTGTGTGTGTGTGTGATTTCGCCCAGGTGACCCTCAGAAGTCGGTGCAGGACCAGCTGCCTCTCATCATCGGGTCAGCCTCCGCGGGTCTGGTGGTCATTGTTGCCATGGTGGTTATTGCTGTTGTCTGCCTTAAGTAAGTGTTTGATCTTTATTACTGATAGCCTAAACTACATGTTTCATTTTGTTAGTTAGTCTCGGAACAAAGAGGCTCATTAAATTTGAACATGTTTTCAAAGGGTGTATACTTACTCTTTAGCATCAAAAAGGAGCTCTGGAAGAGTAAAATCAAAACGGCTCTGTGAGCTTCTCTCGTCGGCAGTCTGGCGTTTCATCTGATAGTCGAGTTAGATACTAGGTTCATTCGCTGTACCTGGAAAGGGTCAAGACTGATTATGTGAATGTGACTTTGTTTATGTGCTGCTTGTTTACAGGAAGCAGCGCAGCGGCTCAGAGCTGGAGTACACTGAGAAACTGCAGCAATACAGTAAGTTTGTGTGTTCAGCTTGGGAACTGTGTCCTCTGTGCTCCTATGGTCATGCCTGTACAGTTAACCAACTGATTCAATCAATTATCCAATCACCTGATTGAGGCAGGAAACACTATTTGCACAGAAGAAATCCTGAACATGTTGTCTGCCTGATGTCTGGCACTGTACTCAATTGTATTTGCAAACCCTAACCATAAGATATGTTGTTTAATTGTATTTTTTAATTTATTTTTTAACATTGAGCCTGGCCCAATAATCAGACTTCAAGGCAAACTCTGACTTACGGTACATTTTGTTCTGTTAATCAATGAACAATGTCCCTGATTTGTAAACTAAATTAGTAAATAAATAAAATTTAGATCAAACAGATCAAATGAGTTATAAAATAAAAAGGAGACTAATATACATTTAAATATGTAGACGCAGGCAATAAATTGTATATTGACTTGTGGAATCACATGTGGCTGATATGATATATCATATTATAGTTGAATGTTTTGAAGCTAAAACCAGAAGCTTTGCATAATTATTAGAAACAAGCAGTCCGACTTTGTCCAACGTTTAAAGTATCTGCCCATCACCACCTCTAATGCTCACTAATTAACACATTATATCTTGTGTTTAATCCATTAAGAAAGTGGGCAGGAACAGTAACTTCCTGAAGTCTTATCATCACTGTGAGGTTGCCGATCAACCAGCGTGAGCAGGATGTAACTGTGCCCAGCCATGAAATACTCGTTGTTTTTGTACGGAATAAACAAATTAGATAAAACACGTTAATTAGTGAGCTTTGGTTTAGCTGTTTCCTCCTGCTTCCTGTCTTTATGCTACGCTAAGCTAACCTCTCCTGGTTGTAGCTTCATATTTATAATAAGGATGCAATCTTATTTTCTAAAGCGAATAAGCAGATTTTCCAGTTTTTCAAACTATTAATTTATAGATTGGCCATATTGTGACGTATTATTACATTTAATTTATTATCAACATTGTAACAGTGATTTCAGCCACATTACCCAGGCAGCTATGTCTAGATGCTGATTTCTCTGTGACATTTTCCCTGTCAGTTTCTCCGGGGGTCAAAGTGTACATCGACCCTTTCACCTACGAGGACCCCAACGACGCCGTCCACGAGTTTGCCAAAGAGATAGACATCTCCTGCGTGAAAATAGAAGAAGTCATCGGTGCAGGTACAATAACGCCGCTGTTTCTGTCCAAGAGGACGGAGAATAATTCAGGTTTATTAATCATTCATTTGAACAGGAGTGTGCCATCAAGCCCCGAGGTCTGTTCTGTAAGAGAGTCCTTTCTGGGAGAAAAGGGATAGGATTCAGAGTGTGCATGAGAGCGGCGGGTGGGAAGGATTGAAGTGAAAATCTTCTCTGTAGCTCTTCCCCCTTCTAGTTTTTTTTCTCTCCAGCGGCATGTTGTGTCCTATCTTCACCTCAAATGACAGTCTGCTCCTGCTCGTTCAACCTTCCTCCCTCCCTGTCTTTCTTTCTCTTTCTCTCTCCCTTGTAAACACTCGGACTCAGGCACCAATCGCAAAACCCCAAAGTTCCTTGCCCGTCCTCTGTCTCCCTTCACCGCTCCCAGGTTGCACACTCGATCGATACCAGTCACTCCCTCTCTCCCCAATATCTTTGACCCCTGACCTCCCGTCCTTTCCTCTTCTCTTTTTGAATCCTCTCCTGCAGCTGAAGCCGACCCTCAACTCTTTCAAATCAGCTCCTTCACTCCCAGTAACAATCCCTCTCCCTGCACCTTCCCCAACTACCTCTGTCCGTCCACCCCTCCTCTTCTTTCCTCTGCTCACTCAACCCCTCTCCCCCATCACCCTCACCCCCTCCTCCTCCTCCCCCACCATCTTCTCTCAATCCAGGTGAATTCGGCGAGGTGTGCCGCGGGCGTCTCAAGCAGGCCGGCCGCAGGGAGATGGTCGTGGCGATTAAGACTCTGAAAGCCGGCTACACCGAGCGCCAGAGACGGGACTTCCTTGCCGAGGCCTCGATCATGGGCCAGTTCGACCACCCCAACGTGATCCGGCTGGAGGGCGTCCTGACGCGGAGCTGCCCAGTCCTCATCATCACCGAATTCATGGAGAACGGAGCGCTTGATTCCTTCCTCAGGGTAAGCTTGACAGGAGATGCGTGCCGCAACACCTCTGACAGAGAAGATTACTTTCTGTTTGTATCAAAGAGGAGAGGAACACACACACACAGACACAGACAGTCATTCACGACACCTCTGGGTTATCGGAATGTTTTACTCTCTGTAAAACACCCCGAGGCGCTCACTTGCTGAGTGATAGAGATTAAATGTGCAATATAACGCCTGGAGACAGGCATAGTGTCTCTGCTTGACGTGACTGACTGATGCTGACAGGCTTTCCAATGCTCAAACTCCTGGTGGAAAACTGTCACATAGCAGACCTTTGGATAGGTTTGCGTCAATGTATTAGAGACTCTTTGTACGACAACAGAATACATTACTGATCAGAGTTTTCGGTTCAGACCACCACCACCTACACAAAACACTGAACAAAAGGCAGGATGAGAAATGAGGTGTCACACAGTACATTTCCAGCTGCGTGGGGTCATTACATGTCATTTACATTCAGTAAAGTGTGTTTTCATGCATGGCTGCAATGTAAAGAAGTCTACTTACTGTAACTGTTCGGCTGGATTAGGTTACTTAATGCTGCTAGTGAATCGATGCCGTGCTGCTGGTCTTAAAAGCGCTTGAAGCACTATACAGACGATTGTTTGTACAGATGATGAGAAGTTTTGGGTAGTGTTATCAGTGACAATGATGAGTCCTGACACTGACCAGCTTGTGTTCATTTGTCTGTTCTTTAATGGGGCTGATGCCAGATAACTGCAGTGTCTCTGGCTGAGGATCATATACCACATATCGAACCTACAGTATCTCTGGCTCCCCATGTGTCCTGTTTGTATGGACACAAGAAGGGAAAAAAAAAAAGTTGAGTAATACTCGATTCTAGTGCCTAAACAAGAGTTTTATGTTTTGACAGAATTTGACAAACTTTTGTCATTAGCCTACCAGAATTTACAAATTTGTTACTTAAATCTGTGAATATAGAATAAAGTATGAGCAGACAAGATGATGAATTGATTCTTGACACTTTTCTGCTAATACAAAACAACAATTCTATTGTTGATTCATTGCTTAAGTAATCTATCAAGCAAACATTTGCTGCTTCCAAATGTGTGAGTTTGCTGCTCTTATGTGTTATTCATCTTTCTAAATTTAATGTATTTGGGTTTTAGACTGTTTGTTCAGAAAAAACAAGCAATTTAAAGTTGTCTTCATGGGCTCAGGGAAATTGTAATGGCCATTTCAGTACTTTCTGTCATTATATAGACAATAGATTCATCGGCCGATTGCGCAAAAGCACGCTGAAAACCCACCAAAACACAACAGCAACATGAAAATAACTGTGTAATAATGATGCAGTTGAGAGTCCAGCCTGAGGTTCCCCCTTTTTAGAGCTGATAATCAGTTAGTCGACTGACAGAAAATGAGTCATTGTTGATAATCAGTTTGTTTATTTTATATCACTGTATGTTAAATATATTTGGGTTTAGGACGGATTGGTTGGAAAAAACAAGTTAGAAAATTATGTTTCTTTGGGCTTTAATCATGATGAGCATCATCTGACATTTTTTAGATGTTAATAATTTTAATTATTTGATAATTGAAAATGTTTGTTGCAGCCCTCAGCAACAACTCAATATCTTAATTTGAGAACTATTAACATGTTTTTCCACAAAATCCTTATTAGTTACAGCCAATATTTCTCAAATGTTAAATGTTGTCTAAATATGCAGCCTTACAAGAAAATTAGAGATCATTTAGTGAATATATGATTAAAGAATAAGTGATTGATCTACAGATTTTGACGCAGCAATCAATGCTGAATATTGGTACTTAGCTGCTATTAATACTCAGTACAGACACATTTTATTCTGTACCAAAAATGTATTTAGAGTGGATACCGATCCCAATTAGTCAATCAAATTAATTGACAACAATGTTGGTAAATTATTCATTGTTTAAGTAATTTATTTAGCAGAATTGCTGTTGCTGCTACGAGCTTCAGAAACATGTGAATCGGCTGCTTTTCTGTTTATCAGTGCAAACTGAATGTCTATTGTTCCTCAGACAAAGCAAGCAATCTGAAATAGCTGCAACTAACAATTATTTTCATTATCGATTAATCTGCCAATAATTTTCTCAAATAATTGATTAATCATTTTGTTTATGAGATGTTACAAAACTCTCATCACAGGTTCTGAGAGCCCAAGGAAGCATCTTCAAATTACTTGTTTTGTCCAACTGACAGTTTTATTATCAGATAAGTGACTTAAATGATAAATCAATTATCAGATAATTGCCCGTTCCTTTGCTGCTGGAAACATCGCCGTTGGCTCTTGGACACTGTAATGCACACTATTCACTATTTTTCTGACACTTTATAGACCAGACAATTATTTCTGAGTTGAAAAAAGAAACGGACTGATTAATTGATAACAAAAACAATCATTAGCTGCAGACCTACATCTGAGAGTCCAGCCTGAGCCTCTTCCCTCCATCTCACCCACTCCTCTCAGTCAGCTGTCCGACAAATAACACAAAAAAACTCCACGGCCTGTGCTGTCCTCACCCCCGCTCTCCCGCCGGTGTCACACTGCCTGTGACTCAAAGGAACTCTGAGTTCTGCTCTAACGAGGACGCTATAGAGTTAACTTGCACACACATGCACAAACTGTCTTGAGACTTTGTACTGCAGCTCCCCCAGGACATGGACCCATTTACACACACACACGACATATGCACATGTGCATTAGAGATATACAGAAATAACACACTCTCAGACATACACGCCACCGTGGCTATGCAGGCCTGCTATGAATCATGGCTGTTTACACATCCATCCATCCTGGCTTGTTTTGCTGTCAGACTTCATCGGAGTGTGCAGACTACAAAGCAGAATGTTTATGGTTTTGTCATGTCACGTCTTGTGTTCTTCGCTTTCTCATTGTGGAGTCAAAGAAGGGATTGATTATGTTGAAAATTGTTTTTTTTCCTCCTTCCAAATTTATATAAAAGATATTTTATATAAATTGGAAAGAAGACCTCACCGTGGATTTTCAGCTTCATCCAGCTTCACAGCTTTCTTTTTTTTATATTATATATTATATCTATTGATTAGTTTGAATTCACACACATCAGCTATCATGAGCCTGTGCAGGTTGGAGTGCTGATTTATTACAATCTCGAGTTTATCCCACTGTGTCACGCCTCACAAACGTGGAGAATTGTAAATTAAACCCTGAAAGCCCTAAATCTCAGATTTGTTTCGTGCTTCTCAAATGTTAACATAAAAAGCCAAAACAAGGGCTTTGGGGAAAATAAGCTCTGAGTAACGTGCCATTCTAATTCAGTGGACGGTCCCATTTTACTTTAATGTTCACAAGCAAAAAAATGCAAACAAAGCTTTGTGTTTGTGTTAACAAGCATGTACTGTCTGTACCTGCAACTAGTTTGTGTCATATGGAGAATGAAAATAAAATACCTGCAGTTGTCTGGTTTTGATTTCAGCGTTGCAGTTCCCCTTTTTGTTTTTGTGTGGAGTCAATATTGAGCCTTAATGGGTTTAGTACGACAGTAAAGAGTCTAATTAATCAGCTAATTGGACAGCATGCGTGAAAAGGTCAGCCGTCACTGACTGTCAGGAGCAGCCGTGAAGCATTATGACAGATGTCATGTTTATGTAGCCTCAGTGACTGATTGGCTGTCTCTGGTGCTTTCTCCTTCTCCTTATCTCCTTTACTCTTCCCTATCGTCTCTTTCTCCATTTCAACACGTCCTTTTTTTCTCTTTCTCATTTTTCATTCCTTCGCTTTCCTCCTTGTTCATTAACTGTCCTCCCCCTCCCCTCCCCCCTCCCGCTCCATCTCTCGTTGTGTTTTTGTAGCTGAACGACGGGCGCTTCACGATGACGCAGCTGGTCGGGATGCTGCGGGGCATCGCTGCAGGGATGAAGTACCTGTCAGACATGAACTATGTTCATCGGGACCTCGCCGCCCGGAATATCCTGGTCAACAGCAACTTGGTCTGCAAGGTCTCTGACTTTGGCCTGTCACGCTTTCTGGACGACACTTCAGCTGACCCCACTTACACAAGCTCCCTGGTCAGTATTATGTAGATGTGTGTGTGTGTGTGTGTGTGTGTGTGTGTGTGTGTGTGTGTGTGTGTGTGTGTGTGTGTGTGTGTGTGTGTGAGTGAGTGTGTTACCATCTCTGCTCTGTGTTTGTACACTGTGCATGTTTAATTGAGCTTGTTAATTTGATCCCCTTCACTTGTTTCACATGTACATATGGATGCATGTGTGACTGTTCATGTGTGCCAATATTTGCGTTAGCGTGCCGTCTGTGAAATTCGCATTAGCTTCTACATGTGTGTGTTGTTCTAGTACTGTAGTGTCTCCAAGGGTGTTGATACCATCCCCCTGTGTGTGTGTGTGTGTGTGTGTGTGAGCAGGGAGGGAAGATTCCCATCCGGTGGACAGCGCCAGAGGCCATCGCCTTCAGGAAGTTCACCTCCGCCAGTGATGTGTGGAGTTACGGCATTGTCATGTGGGAGGTGGTGTCCTATGGAGAGAGGCCATACTGGGACATGAGCAACCAGGATGTGAGTATGCTTGACAGTCTCACGTTACACATATCTATAGACCAAATGCATGCGCAGGGAGTTTAATGTGTAAGTTTAGGGCCGGCTGGGAGTTTCTCTGGGCTGTTGTGGCTTTGATTTCCAGCGTGACATGTTGGACCTGGGCCTGTTCTGCCGTCTTTATCTCCTCATTGCAGATGCTGCTGCAGCTGTGTGCCTGTGTTCTAGTTTTTACCATCTTATTTACAGCCCTAGCCTGCTTGCCCTCTACAAATCCATACTGCAAAACCTCCCTCCTCACACACACACACACACACACACACACACACACACACAAACACACACAAAGGCATACTCAGGAAAAAGGCTTTTTTATTTTTCTTTACAGGCGTTGTTACCTGTAGGCTATCTGCTCTGCACAGACATCGTAACTACAGCAGTGAGTTCGTAAGAAAGAAAAAGAAATCTCTGGGTTCCTCCTCCCTGAACAAAATACTGAAGCAGTCTGTACACCTCCACTTTATTCCCCAAGGAATAGCCGCTCTGTATTGTGGTTCAAAAAGAGAGTTGTAACGCTGATAGCAATAAAGTAAAAAAAAAAGGAGCTGTAATGAAAAATGCCAGTAATGTATGTATAACTTTCATCACAAAACCCACATGCAGTAATGAAAGCATCAAAGTAGAGGCCCTCTATTGTTCCCAATAGCCTTTGTGCCACAGTCATCGCTCAATAAGCAACAGAGTCAACAAATGCGAGATATAAACAGAGGTGCTCGCCGGCTGGAAGCACGACATAAAAATCAAAGGACAAGCAGCACGAGAAGAGGAGTGCAACACAAATGTTTTATTGTTCCCAAATGGCAATTTTTTTATTGTTGTGGGGAGTTAAAACCCATACAGAGCTTATGGAGGGAAATGCAGTTGCTAGGCGAAATCAAATCAATGAGCAAACGTTTTCATCCTCCACTTATTGTCTCTCCTATCAATCATGCCAGTTGTGAGGTGACAACTTTGAGAGTTCTTGAGAATATATTTTTTATAGTTTTTTAAAGATACTGAAAAGAAGATTGGAATGTGTGACAGCACGAGCCAAAAGACTGTCTAATGTAGGACATAATACAGTAACTGGGGATTATTCTTCCACCATAATAACAAAGGCCAAACAGAGTGAGCATAATACAAATGAGTCAGAGCCAAATGTTAACACTTTGTAAAAGCACAACATGAAATTTGCTTAAATCCTTGTATGCAAGATATTCTGGCTCGATGTTCTGCACAATAACTCTGAAATTAAATGTTCTTCTGCCATTCTCGCAGCCCTGGCTCTATGAATGGAAATGTGTGCTTCTGAGTGAAATATCTATCTTGTATAAGTTGCGGTAAAAATGTTGATAATATTAGAATAAATGGATATTCATGGTTACCCAGAGGATGAATTATTATGACTTTATTATTATGACCCCTTAACTTTTCCTCCAGGGCCATCATCGATTTGTCGTCAGCCTCATGTTCTTTGTGTTTTGTGCTACTTAGCATATGTTATCATACTAACAGGCTAAACCAAGATGGCAAATATGATAAACATTGTACCTGCTAAACATCAGCATGTTGGCATGTTAGCACGTTGATGTTAGCATTCAGACTTTTAGGCTTGTTAAGAATGATTTCCTGCCCCTCAGGTGATGACGGCAGTAGAGCAGGACTACCGACTGCCCCCGCCGATGGACTGTCCCATGGTGCTGCACCAGCTGATGCTCGAGTGCTGGATGAAGGAGAGAAACATGAGGCCCAAGTTCTCCCGCATCGTCAGCACCCTGGACAAACTGCTCCGTAACGCCGCCAGCCTCAAGGTGGTGACCAGCACCTACTCAGGGTAAGTCTGTACGCAGGAGCAGGGGACGCCTTTAATGGAAGACTTTTTTTCTCACACACTTTGCATCCTTCTGAAACCGCCTTTCTTCCATTGAAGTGAATGGACAGAAGTTTCAAGGTGGATGGAAAGGGTTTGCTTTTGAAAACGTGCTACGTCTCACTTCTTTTTAGGAAAAGCAAAGCACTTCACTGTTGCCACCTTGGCAAGTTTGTTGTGACATTTAGCAACTTTACAGACAAACTTGCTGAATTTACTTTCTGCAGCAAAAAAATCTCACTGAGGTTATAGGCTGTATATAGAAAGGCCATTGTGAAGAATCTCAGTAAATGCAGAAGCTCATAGTAGAAATGTATAACATTTGAGAACACATTTGCAGGAACTTTCATCATAAAGTGGCTGTGTTGTTGCAGTTTTGTTGTGCTGTTGGCTGACTTGGCAGCTACTGTAGCCAACCTTTGTTGAAAATATTTGCATTATTCTTCTGGCTTTTCCATATAAGCACAAAACACAGTTGAGTTTTTTTCTACAATAACAGCAGAATAGTGCTAACACAAAACAGGGGTGATGCAATTCCCTCTCCTTCACCGTGTGTGAAATTGTCCCCTGTATTGTGTATGACGGCTGTGAAGTGCGGGATGAAGACTCCTCTTGGTGCAGAGACAAGCAGAGCTGTGCCTCTGGGAGGTTGGAATAAGATGTCACAGTAAAAAAATATATGTTGCTGGCCTAAAGAGAGGCACAACAAGGTTCATGCTTGTTGGGTTTGGTTTGTTTTATGCTTTCGGTTGATTTGGGAGGATTTTTGTTTGAGCTGAAGGGTTTTTACTGCCAGACAGACGTCTGCCTCTTTTCCTCTGACACTTCCTTTGGCAGTGTAGAAGTTGACTTATTCATAGGTAGCCATCCTCACAGTGACAAGTTGTTTTTCAACTTTGTTTTGAGTGCAGTGACTCCGAAGTGTTCCAGCCATTTTCACTGACGTGTTTGTTCTGAATTTTGTTAGCCTGGCATCAAGTCAACAGTATGATTAGTGCTGGTTTAGATGCAAGATCCTCAGCTCTGTAGTGATGTATAATGAATCAAGCGCACATCCTCAACTCTGTTGCTCTGACTATGCAATAGTCTCCTGTTTCCGACAGGCACAAAAGGCAGAATTCATACATACAGTATCCAGGTCTGGTGCCAGCTCCTTGGCTCGCAGTTTCACTCTAACACCGAGCCCCAAGGGCGATTCCTATGCCAGGATTTGGGCTCAGTGAAGGTAATTGTGTGTGGAAATGTAATGGCTGACCTCAGTTTAATTCCCCCTATACTTGGCTGGATGCTGGAATGTAGGTGATAGGACAGACAGCAACCAGAGCTGCTGATGTGGAAAAGCAGGAGGTGATGAAGTGTGAGTAATAAGGGAGATTGAGGAGAAGCTAAAAGAGAGGAATGTGTTTAATTAGGTTGCTAATGAGCTTTTTAATGCATCAGGGGAGGGCGCGCCCAATGCAGTGATGGGCGAATAGGAAAGGGATATGTGTGTGTGATGCTTGTGTGTGTGTTTGTGTGTGTGTGTGTGTGTGTGTGTGTGTTATGCTGCGTGTCACTGTGTGCAGATGACATGCCAATGATTAATTTATGGCCTCATCTGTATGCAACAGCAAGAGAGATAGACGGAAGGGAAGGAGAGAGAAAGGATCATGTTGTCAGAGCATGATTTAGAGAGTGTCTCCTGTGTTTGCGTGTGCGTGTGAGGCAGTGAACGCTCGCTCCTGCTCACCTGCCATTGGCTGCTCAGTGATGTCGGGGCAGATAGCGAAGAAAGAGAGAGGATATGAGATGCTGTGCTATCTGTAGAGTATCTTCAGCCATGAGGAGGGCCTTTAAAAACAAGGACACCGGCTGAGGAACAAAGGACACGCACGGACTGCAGAGCTTTTTCCAAGATAGGTGTGAAATATCTTGAACTTTTATTAAAACTGGACATGTGATGAATAGATTTGGCTTGCCATTTGAGTCTGATCAGCAGATTTGAGCTTATTCTCCTGGTTCTGTAATTTTATTGTTAATGTCCATGAGGTCTTAGGTGTATACACTGTGCATTTCGTTACACTGACACTAAGATGGATTAGACCTTTATCCGTCTGCAATGAGAGCACTTAGCGGAGTAATAATGAGCTGTATCTTTTGTTTAAAGTGACTGTGAACCTGCCGCTGACCTGTGTGGCTTTGTCTTGGCAGGGACCTGCTGCGGCTCGGAGGGACGCTGCCGGGACACAACAGGAAGAGTCCGGAGAGCAGTCAGGAAATCGTTCGGCAACAGATGAGCCAAACTCTCCCCATCAGAGTGTGAGCCACTGTGAACCCGGAGGATACAGAATGAATAAAAAACTACCTAGAAAACTCTGACGCGAAGAGCCCCGATGTAAAATAAAAAGAAGAAAATAAAAGAAGAAAGCTCCGGCTACAGAGAGAGAAAGAGGACCGTTTTGGAGATTTCTTTCCAACTGGAGATTTAATGTCCGTTTAAAGAGAACTTTTCATTGCAGTGTGTGTGTGTTCATTACTTGCCACTTGTGGATTTGTGACTATTGACATAAAGCCAAACTTCCTATTGCCCCCTCTCAGGTTGTGTTTGCATGTCTGCATGTGTTTTAAGCTGGTTGGGAATCAGTCTTTCCTTCTCTTCACCCTCAGACTGAGGACTGGAGAGGTTACACACCGATGATGGGTGTCTAGATGACACAACAGTGCCAAGATAAAGCGAAACATTTGCTTTAAATGAACTCTGAAGACAGCTCGACATCTGTAGACCTTCAATCCGATTGATTTTTTATTTTTTTTTACCCAACCAAACTCTTTTATTTTGCTTTGCTTTTTTTTCAAGAAAAAAAAAACACACTTTTCATCTGCTTCCTCTTAAATACTGTCTTCCACATGTACTGGGAGACATACGTGTTACAAATCTGTACAAAGCATCCGAGTCTTCACACTGTCTCTCCATCAGAGGGGAGATGTAACTGACACTGTGCGGGACACGTCGTGTGCATGCCAAAGTGGAAACTTCTTCATGAGAAAAGTACAAATAAGTTCCACATTAACTGTTGCTTTGGTGGCATTTTGCTGTATGGACTTTAACGTCCATGTCTTTCTTAACCTTATTTGACTCATATACGCATTGTTTTGAATGCTAAGTTATTATCTATTATCGCAAAGAGGTGGATTTTTTGTGTTTTTTTTACAAGTACCGGGGCTTAACTTTTTTATTACAATGCTTGTTTTTTCATACATTAACAAACCGGACAGACATGAATGAGTGAATTAAGGAGGAAATGTTCTGCTCAGACAGAATAATCATTTTTAAAAACACTGAGGAGACTTTGTGGAGATTGCTGTTAGGCATTTTTTTTAAAAATTGAAAAAGCGCCCGTGGTAGTGCTGTGTTGTATATTTTACTTTGGCAAACGTGTTGCAGATCAGTGGGAGTTAAAAAGGTCACTATCCAGATGATAGCTTTGTGACCTTAATATTGACCTGACCTACAAACATTGATGTAGAACAAATCACTCATTGGTTCATTTCTCCTGACATATGTTTTCTTCAGTACGCCAGCTGTCAGCGCAGTTCCTATCTAAAACAACTGCCTGTATATAATACTATATTTCTATTAGACCAGTCAGCTCAGCATCTACAACTATCTGAGCTGATTCTGGCGTCTCTATGACCCTCGTTTATATGCTTGTTTGTTTATTGTTGAGGAGCAAACAAATGGAGAAATTAAAGTTTAATGGTCATTACATATCTGAAACTATATGTCACAATGAAAGAAGAAACTGTGTGTCTGTTAGGGCAGACTTTTTCCTGTGCAATTAAAGGTGTATTAGATTGTAAAAAAAAAAATGCCAGAAAACTAGAACAAAAATAAGCATTTCTCTTTCAGTATTTTTACGATAATCATATGCAAATAAATTATTAAACGGATCTCTCGTATTCTCTTTGATTTCTCAGCGGGTTCACCAGGCTGAAGTTCCAGGTCTCTTATCAGGGCCAGGGATGGAAAGAGGGAATAGCAAGTGTGTTTCACCTCCTCAGTTGGAATATCACAGCAGCGTTGGATGGACTCATTAAGATTTAAGGTTAATCAAAGGCCGGTCCACACGGCTCGCCAATTATCTAGACCACAGGACTATTCTGGGGATTTCAGTCTCTGTTGCTGCTGGAGAGGCTTCAAGGAGGCAAAGTTAATCTGGCTTCACACCAAATGTCAGTGTTGTTTGGCTTTAATCTTTCAGCCAGGACACAAACCGGGTCTCACTCCGTACCAGTGAAGCTGTCACCTTCTGTTTTTATTGACTGAGAGGAAGCTCGTCTATTGGGGGACTCGACTCACCGCTCAGCAGCTGTATGATCAGCCACTAAAGGGACGGCTGCTGGTATCGTGTTTTCTGCATGTTCTCTAATCATCTCGGCTGCTCTCCCAGGATGCGCACATGCACCAGGTCAACTTAAAGGTTCAGAGGCACACAGATCCAAATGTGCAATATATGCAGACACTGAGTGTAATTCCACCGGGCAAACCCACGAAGCGTGACATTTATCATGTGTGTGTGAAAGCTAGATAGCAGATAAATGCTTTGTGTTGGTATAGCTGCTCTTTCCGTTGAAAGAAAAAAGATGTGTAGAGATACATGACCTTGGAGGAGAATATTATACGCATAATTCTGCTGAAGAGGAAGTCTACTAGTTAAAAGCTATATATTTTTTAGGGCCTACTTTGAAGTGGGCCCGGTTTTTAATCAAGCACTAAAACACAAGCCTATTTTAAATAGTGTTTGCTCGGTATTTTCCATTGCATCTGACATCTGACACAATGTCAAAAGGGAGATTTTGCATCCTGTTTACCATTAAACGTTTGAAGCGTTTCCAGCTTCGCAGGCCACTCTGGCTCGCTGCTCACCAGAGGAAACATTTGCAGCTCCCCGACTCAGCAGAGATGGGATCTAATATTCTTCACTGCTGCATTTTAAAGACGCTACAAAATGGCAGCAAAAACCTAAAGGAAAATATCTCATTATCGTATTACAGACCATTAAGTGATGAGAGATCAGCTGCGACAGTTTCTCACAGAGATTTTAATGAGCGTGCTTGGTGGAGGGAAAACTGAGGAAGTGATGGCAGGATGACAGACAGTTTTTATTTCATGGCTGCTGGTTGCTCATCAGTGACCAGAAGTCTGTGGTTCAACGTCAAATCCCTACATCACCAAAGTGATCCCTGCGATTAATGCAAGATTAACAGCAGCTCGACCGTTATATTGGACGTACATAATCATGCATAGAGACCAGCCAAGACAGGAAAAAAAAGGCACATAGGCACACCACAAACACACATGCATATTCAGATGCATAACTATACACACTCGTACACCCTCGACTCACCCTCAGATCTGCTGGATTGGCAGTGATTTGTCAGATTTAGCTGCATCTACTTGTGCACCCCATCTGAATGCACCAGTCAGTTCTCTTCCAAGCTCAAAGCTCTCATTTGCCATCCTGTCCAAAGCAAGTTTAATGCCTCCAATTACAGGGGGTCTGCAAGCAGGCAGATTTGGAGCGAGGAGGCTTGGCAGGAGAGTTTGCTACGCATCAGGGCCTTTTAACAGAGTAGTGATTTGCTGCTGCTGGTGCTGAAGCTGCCTGTGCCGGCTCATCAATGGAAAACTACCCTCTTTATGGTGAAGCGCATGCAGCACTAAGCCGAAACTGTGAGGAGAGACACAAAAATATCAGGCTTTTTAACACCGCGGTACCATCTCTCTCGCACTCAATGTGGAGGAATTTCTGCATCTCTGCACCGCAAGCACAAATGGAAATCAAAGTCTTTTCAGCACTAATTTTTATGTAAAATGGGCTGTATTTTAATTGAATATTCTCAGATACTGTACAGCAGAGTATCATGGTGGAAAGGGAGAAAATGAAGGAATTGGTGCATACAGACAAGATAGCTGCAGAAACATAACTTGGTATATGATGCATTAAATATGACAGTCAAGGGAAAACTTTTTTTTATCTTCAGTGTTCTATTTCTTTTTTTTTTTTTTTTTTTTTCTAAAATCAGCTTTTCACTCACTTTGACAACCAGATCAATTTTTTTTTATTTGGTTGGTTTTTTTAAAAAAAAGGTGAAGTTTTGCTTCTTTAAGTCCCAAAGGGGCAGATTTTATCATCACTGATCATATGCAACATAATTAGAGAGATGTAGAATACACATCTCCATGAAAGTCAACCGTTACAGGATCACTTTCAGCACAAAGCCTTAATTACTGGAGTAGACCATTAAAATGTACTATATAATCTATTACTCACACACATTTTTCCTATTCACAGACACTAATGAACCATTCTGAACCTTTAGAAAATGGTGTGTAATTCCCCAGTTTTACTATAATTTTACAATACATCTATAATTCAGAATAAAGCCACAAGTTATGAGACATTTTTCTTTCTTAATCCAAATTAATGGAATACATTTACCATTTCTTTTAACCAGATTATTGTAATCTTGTTAAAGATAATCCCTAACCCTGGTCTTCAAGTATTATATCTGAACATTACAGCGGGGCGGCTGGCACTAAAAGCAACCGTAATCTTTGCTACAGCATCATGGCTAATGAAAAATATAAATGGGGAGCTGCAAAACATCTAATTACAGAAATACTCAATTTTCCCCTCAAATGATTTGTTCACATTTAATTAAAAAAGCCGCAACACAGAAACACACACATTCATGTACACACGTTGTGATGGTAAATAATGCCTCCCAATTTTTACCTCCCAGCAGTTTCCTCATGAAAGCCTTCAGTGTTGCAGGGACTGATGATTAGCATGACAGTGCACTTTGTGCTCAGAGAGGCCTCCCCACCTCTGCCTGTCTGTGGCTCAATCTCTGCAGTGTGTGATCCATTAAATGGCCTCTGAAGCCCTGGCCATTGATTAATGGGTGTCAGTACTCTGTTGGGTTTGAAGGACGGGATGCTGTGCATCAGACAAATGGCTGTTGGCTGTTAGCTTAGCACAAAGACTGGAAACGGGGACGCAGCCTGATTCTAATTGTTTTTATACTTTCATACAAAAACAGAAGTGTAAAAATTACAATTTGCCCTTTTTATGGTGGGTTATGTGCCAGACTATTTTTGGCCTGGACCAGTTGCCAGGCAACCAGTAACTCCAGGAAGTTACTGGCCCCGGCCAAGAAACTGAGAGCCAAATGAAACCAGAACTTCCGGATTTTCTTCCCAAAGTAACAAAACCTCATTCAAATTCCCACTGAAACAGAGTCAACAGTATGTCGAGTGGTTCACTCCATATATCGAGATGAGGACAGCCAGTTTAAAAAAGGGATCTAATATTGTTTGTTTATGTTTCTGTTTCTAGCAGCCTTTAACAACACCATTTCCCATAAACCCTATCCATTGCAGATTAAAAGTCACAGCTCGATAAGAGAAGTATCCGTGGCAACTTCAGACATGTTTGTAATAACAGCAGAACAGCGAGGAGCAAACACTGTAGACATTGTTAGACAGCAGATATTTCAGCTAGAAATTAACTTTTTAATTAAGTTAGTGATTATTACAGATGTGGACAAAACTGTTACTATGTAGTAAAAGTCAAATTACAAAGGTTTCAATTTCTACAGTGAACCCCTGTTCATTTAATTTTTTCAGGAAGAATCATCAAAGAAATGTTTAGTGAGAGACTGCATTGACTTACAGAGGCTCGAGCGTCCGAACATCAGCTCTGTGTAGTTTAGCATAAAATGTCAATTATTTTTACCCGAGATAGAAGAAGTACTCAGATCTTTTTCTAAATAAATGGAACAATACCACAGCGTAAAAATACTGTTACAATAAAAAGTCCTGCATCAAAATATACTTAAAGTACTAAAAGTAAAAGTACTCATTATGCAGAATAGTCAGTTTGAAAATAATATTTTATTGGATTATGATTATTGTTTTTATTATACATTTATGGGTTCATCACTTTACACACTGGACCTTTAAGTACAGTACTTGAGTAAATGTACTCAGTTACTCTCCACCACAGATATAACATGTTAATTTGTGAGCTTTAGAGCTGCTAATAGACACATTTTGTTACCATTGGACAGAGCAAGGCTAGCTGTTTCACCACTGTCTCTGCGTTAAGATGAGCTGCCCTGCTGCTGGCTATAGCTTTGTATTTACCGTACAGACACTAGAGTGGTATCAATCTTCTCATCGAACGCTCAGCAAGAGAGAAAAATATGCTTACTTAATAAAATCTCAAACTGTTCTTTTAATTAGGATCTACTAATCATGACTCTGAGAGGGTTCGGATGTGACATTTTAAAGCCGGGTTGTGTGTGTTTTCAACTAAGAGGCTTTGAAGTGAAAAACTGAGAAACACTGTGACATTCTCCATTGTAAAAATATAACAAAATACAGCCTGATGCAGCATCTAAGAGACCACATCTGACTGCCAGGATGTGTTTCAAAGCACCAAAGCAGTGAGCTCTTGGTGAAAAGAGGGGCCAACAGAGATCATTAGCATGCATGTGAATGGGTTTGAAAGAATGAACAGATTATGCATTTGTATGTTTGCTGATGGGATAGAGGGGTTTAGGTCCCTCAACTCAGTTTGAATCACAAATCCCCACCAGGGGAGGGGAAAGGCCACGGACAGAGAAGAGCAGGAAGAGACAGACTTTAGGCTTTTGAGTAAACGTGGTGGGGGTGTGTGATGCCGTGGTCTCATAGCAGATGTCCTAAATTGGCAAAGAAAAGAATAGAAGACCAAAGGGATTGTGGATCCTGAGCTTAACTCCTATCTCTCTAAATCTGCAAAGTATCTGTGTGGAGCATCGGGGCGGATCGCACCGCCGGGCTGCCAGTCAAAGTTTTGAGAGGTTGTTTTCAGAGCCCCTTTTGTTGTGGCCTGTGGAGC